GGCTGACACCAGCACTTAAACAGGTGCTTCTTGTTCTCAACATCAGAAAAGCTGTTTTGTTTTTTTTTTCCCAAATCAAAGGCCCCAAAGAAAATTCCTCTCCTACAAACTGAGCCTCAAGGTTTAGAACAAGTTTTAAAAACAGGAGTCTGAGCATACAAAGGATGGATGTGTAGGTTGCAAGCCGGTGGCCCTGAAGTGTCCTCTTATCACCCACCTCAACACAAACAAAGTTCTGAGGATCCTGTTAAAGAACACATTTACAACATATGAAGGCCTTCCCAGCCCCGTCTCATGGGGCATTCCAACCTCATGGGCTGGGCAGCAGATGTCCCCATTTTACAGCCGAGGAACTAAGGTATCTAAAAATTAGTGGCCAGTGGGCATGTACCTGGGTCTTCACATAGCAATATTACAACCACTAATATTATAACTGTTATAACCACAGAACTATCATGTAGTTAGTGCTTGCTAAATGCCATGAACTCTGTTAAGGATTTTAAATGGGAACATTCTTACAATGCTTAGAAATCATTATTAGTGAAATTTCACATGAAGAAATAAATCTCAGAGATGTTAAGAAACTTGTCCAAGGTCACATAGCTACTAAGTGGCAGCGCTAAGATTTAAGCCCAGATCTTTCATTCTCTGAGGTTTCCTATAACCAGGCTATCCTGCCTTGACCACCACTCCACACAGGCTCACCCCTGCTCAATTCAGGAGTAATACAGAAATGATTTTAGTTTATTTTTTCTATAAGTGATTTAATAAGTATAAGAGCCCTGCCCCACAACCAGCACATTAAATCTGTAGTTTCATGCATATTATTACAGCAACCACCTCCCATATCCATGGAGGACATATTTTAAGTCCCTTCGATACCTGAAACTGCAGAGAGTAATAACCCCATAATACTATGTTTTTCATATACACACACATGCCTATGATTCAGATGTAGTTTATAAGTCAGCACAATGAGAGATTAACAATAATAACTAAAAGTAAAATAGAACAATTATAACAATACACTATAGTAGTTATTTAAATCTTATAAATTGCTTCTTTTTCTGGAATTTTCCACTTAATATTTTTGAGCCAGGATTGACCCTGGGTGAGTGAAGTCATGTAAAGGGAAACCTTAGAGAAGGGGGGACTACTGTATTCAGGATGAGGTTAGATTGAAGTTTAAAGGAAGTCAATGTGAAAAAGAAAAAATATTGAGTACATAAACATGTAGGTGGGACCAGGATACCACCCAGTCAAATTCCCCAAGTCTACTCACGGCTAGGATGGCGCGGTCCCTCTCCATCAGGTCAGCCAGCTGGTGCAGCAGCCGGCCACGACTCAGGGCATCCAGGCGGCGCCACGGGGAGCCCCTCTGGAAGGCGGCTTGTGCGGCCTCCACGGCCTTGTCCACATCAGGCTGAGTGGCCAAAATGACAGAGTGTCATTTTTGATGCATCTACAGTTTGGGACCACTCTGCTGTCAGTGACAGAGAACAGCAGCGTGGAGCCACTGTAGCACCAAGGAGGGTCCAGCACAGAAGCTAAACTTAAGTCACCCAAATGTAGGAGTGGGGGTGGGACTGCACCAAGGATCTGTCTCCAAAGTTTGCATGGATGTGAGGGAGTGGGGGGGTGCTCTTCTCTTTTTCCTTTGTATCTTAAGTCTTTTTCAAAATTTCTACCACGGCCAAGTATTAACCTCCTTTCTGATTCAAAGAGCATTTTAATAAAGTCACCAACCTTGACTCTTTTTCTTGGTGACTCAACTATGAAAAGATTTTCCACTGTGGCCCAAGAGGGCTGATGGTGGGGGGTGGATTTATGCTTCTGTAGATTGAAGAGCTGATCACATTTCAAGAGTCCGCAGTCATCTGAAGTCAGGCAGCGGCTGTGACAGCCATGAAGGCCTTCTTCTGATTTCAGCCTCATTGTACCCCATGGGTACAGAATTGTTGCATCATTTTATGGACAAGGAGCTCTCTTTTGTACACTGAGAATAATTACAAAGGAACTATTTTTTGTTGCGGTGGTGGTGGTGGGAGGGGCTGGGGATTGAACCTGGAGTCTTTTGAGCACTAGGCAAGGGCTCTGCCATGGAGCCACACCTCCAGCCCTGAATCGCCTTAAAACGAAAAAAAGCCAGAGTTATCTAGAAGAGCATCACCTAGACTAATTTTCAGGAAAATGGGCCTCAAGGTTCTGTTTGCTGATGGCTAATGATCCACCCTGAAGGTCGCTCTGAGTCCCTACCCCTGGGGAGGTGCATCACGCAGTGAACTCAGGACATTAGTCAGGAGGGGACTGCACCAAGGATTGGGACTGTCTCCAAAGTTTGCATGGGGGTGAGCAAAAGCTTTGGCATGGGAGATACTGGGTCACTGGATTCCTTGTTTTGGGCTCTGGGGTGGAGGCCAGGACCTCTCCATCTGCAGGGAATGGGTAGGGGCAAGAGTCTCAGTTTCTTCCCTGATGCCCATGTGGGACACTTGGGAATCATCAAGTGGGAATCCCATTTAATATCATGCCCTCCCTGCCAGGGCTCCTGTGCTACTTTCTTAGAAAACAGAGCTTAGGATAAGAAGTCACATGGAGGGGTGTCTATGTGGGTGAACCACTGTGCATTGCATGTGTATCACAAGACTTTCCCTGGTGGGAGAAAATCCAAGCCTACCTCACCTACACAACCATTACCTGACCATTTCAACATCACTAATACACTCATTAAGAATATCTATTCAGCCAGGTGTAGTGGTTTAGGAGGCTGAGGCAGGAGGTTCTTGAGTTCAAAGCCACCCTCAGTTTAGCAACTTAGTGAGACCCTGCCTCTAAATAAAATAAAATATAGGGCTGGGAATGTGGCTCAGTGGTTAAGTACCCATTGGTTCAATCCCTAGTACCAAAAAAGAATGTATCTAAGCTGGGCATGATGGTGCCTACCTCTAATGCCAGTGCCAGCTACTCCAGAGGCTAGGTCAGGAGGATCATAAGTTCCAGGCTAGCCTTAGTAATTTAGCAACGCTGTGTCTCACAATAAAAAACAAAAAAGGGATGGGGATATAGCTCAGTGATACATGGCCTTGGGTTCAATACCCAAGGGTGGGGGGAGAAGAAGAAGAAGAATATAGGCAAAAGGACTGGTTGAACCCAGGAATTCAGGATCAGCCTGGTTGATATAGTGAGACCCCCAATTTAAAAAAAAAAAAAGAGTGTCTGTTCAGTATTCTAGTGGTTGAAGAGGGGGTCATGTTTCCCTTTTTTCTGTACAAGACCTTTAATCTTTCAGGTCAAAATACACTTTATGGCCTTGAAATATTCGTTAGCTTCTATAGGATAAAATAGACCCTGTCTAGCCAACAGGGTTACATAGACTTCAGCTTTACACAATCATGGAAGTTTCTAGTACAAAAGAAATCTGATGGTTACATGATATTATTACTACCTCCACATCACTTGGATTGTAACTCTTTTTTCCTGCAAGTGTATTTTTTTTTTTTTAAGTGTCTCCTGCCAGAATGCTGCGTTTGGTGAAACACCCCAGCCGGAAATGCTTTCTGGAAAGAGTCTTTAATGACTCCAGGTTCAAATAATTGATAAAAACCTTTCCTTTAGCCACGTGATGAGGATAGCTGAGGTCATCCTCATAGATGGGGAAACATCTATCAAAGGAGAGTGACTCTTTGCAAAGACCGTCTGTAATTGATCCCATTCAAGAACATGTGTCTGAGTTGCACATACCAACGGGCCAGTGCGATTACCCAGGCCCTACCCCCAGGGTGGGCCCAATCTGTCTTACAGCTAAACCACACTGCTTCCTTATCCTTCATTTATCTATAATTGAATTACTGGGGAGTGGGGGTGGGGGGGACCTACCTTATCTCCTTCTTCTACTTCACATATTTTCTCTAGAGTTGAAGGGTTATATGTGGCAAATTTTTTTCCACTCTTGGATTCATGCCAGTCATTGTTGATAAATATCTAACCAGGAAAGGAAGTGTAACGAATTAGGTTTAAATCAAAATCATATAATTTCAACATGCTAAGGACCTTAGGTAACGTCTTATCCACCCTCTCTCCCACCTCCCCCTGGATGTGTTACAGATGAGACCTGGAGAAGACAGAACATCCCGTCACATGACCAAGTCACCAACTTGGAGCAAACTCAGAATTAGAACCCAAGTTGTCAAAGTAGAACTAAAATTGATTGGAGTTTTTCTCAATTATTTTTTTTTAACAATAACCTGGATTCACAAAGGAAAAAGCTGGGTTAAATTGTTAAATAGAGGGTGTAGATTGAATCCTATACCCTCATAGACTTTGGGGGAAGATGAAGCAGGTTTGGGTATAGAAAGTGGTGAGCAATCTGCCTGCCCCCAAAGAGTGTATAAGCAGTGAGTGTCCCTGTCCTTCTTCCTTCTGCAACCCCAGCAGGACTGACAGAACCTTGACTTATAGGAGGATTGTGCCATAATCCTCTAGTCTTCATAAACGCACATCAGCACATCCTTCCCTTGCATACCCTTTTAAAGATCTATTTTCCTGTTCGGCTTGGTAAAAACCAGTGTTGGAATACAAAGTTAAAAATCTGGGATAGAAAATTTTCAGGTTATATTAAGTCATGTAGCAAAACACTGTTGATATCCAAAACTCAAGAAATAATGCACAAAAATCACTTCACTGGAAGCCTCGATTATCCAAAATTACAGCTAAAAAATAAGAATGCAAAAAAAAAAAAAAAAACCGACATCATGAGCAAACTAAAAAGAATTTGCAAAGCCTATACACGCACTGAGATGTATGTACTATTTACTCTTAGTTTCCTCTAAGTTTTAACCACATTAAAAGAAAGGGCTTTTGGGAAAGAATTAGGAACAGAGATGATGGATAATGTACTAAGCACCTTCTGACAGCACTGAGGTCCTGGCTGCCCTGAGAGAGGACAGATAAGGTCCTGCTGCATCTCTGGGAGGGCCTTGTCAGCACAGTCTGTCACAGGGAAAGACCCCAGTCGCAGAAATCACACACAATGCCTTCCATCATTCCTAAGGACAGAACTAGCGCATTGGGATTTCATTCTTGTATCTAGATGATATCATACACATATATTTGTATTCTGCTTCTCTTTGAGTTGTTTAAAAGAAGAGTTGTATCACTATGGGGCCGATTTCAATGACTGTGAATTTGATTCATTGGGAACACTTGACTCTCCAATGACGACAGACGAGAGAAGGGAGCCATCTCCTCCAGTGTGCGGCTTGGTTACTTCTCTGGAGTAGGCCCTGTTGTATCAACTCCGCAGCTCATCGGGAAGGGAACCCAGGCTGCCTCTGGTGAGGACCATGCACAGAAGAGAGGCTCTGCCTGGCAGGTGGGCAGAGACCACCTGCCCTCTCTTTTGGAGTCCAGAGCTGAGAGCATCTGGTTCCAGAGGAACTCGCCCATTCGACTTCTAGAAGCTCAGCGCCTTCCCTGTGAGGCCGGGCCCCCAGGGAAGCATGTGAGGAAAAGGCCAGGCTTCAATTACAGGTTCATTCTTCCAGCTGAAACCAAATCCAAGAGTCCACTTTTGCCATGCAGCAAGTAATCAGTCGGTAACAGTGAGAAATTAATAAGCGGAGAAGAGGAGTTAGGTTAGAGTGGGGAGGAAAGTGTGGCCGGGAAGAGAGGCCCATTTATAGCAAGATGAAATTTCGTGGGTTAGATAATAGAGACGGTCAGCGAAAATTGCTGATTCTAGGCCTTCCTGGTATCAATTCCAAGGGGGAGGGAAAGTGAGAAGGTGGCAAGAAAGAATATAAATAGGGGGGATGGAAACAGATTGCAACGATCGGATGTCTGCTATACCTCATCTCCAAGCATGCGCCTCCAAAAAAAAAAAAAAATTTTTTTTTAACTTGGTTGCTTGTGACATCGATCCATAGTCTTTGCTAACTGACAATTAAAAAAAAATTCAAACCGCTTGACTCTAACCATATCTCCTCATCACAATGTTTTTAATTTAGCAAAGTTATTTTCTTTATCCTACCCTACGAAGCAATCTTGTAAGTGGTTTCTACTGTTGGTTTTTCTCTCCACTAAAACATAACAAAAACGCAAATAAGGAACGTAGTCTACTGACAACGCTGGCCGTATTGTTTTGAACCCCAAATCAGGATAAAGGGTCTGGAAGGGGATTGTTTTTCTTGACTTGTGAACTGGTGTGAAACAAACTTTATCGGGTATAAAATTAAGCAACGTTGAATTGTAGACAGAATTCACATTTTACGGAAGGATCAGCACAAAGCTGGAAGGTGTCCTGAACAGAGGTTGAGATGGTGGTCACACAAGTGAATCCTACTGGCATCATTTTCAGTAATTTCCACTGGGTGTCAGGACACTCAGATAAGCTCAAAAAGAATATGTTTTTCAGGAGATTTGGGGGAATTTTATTTTCCATAAAAGAGATAATATAAACTGGCATTTGAACGAAGCACAAAACTTTAAAAGAGAATCTCTGATGTTGGAGGAAAGTTTATAAAGCAAGAGTCCCGTAAAATGAAAGGGGCTGGTATCCTCTGAGGTCTGTGGGGCTCTCTAGAGGGACCTTACCTTCCCCTCACGAAAATCACATTGCATGACCCTACTCTCAATGTTAAAATCTGGGAACAAGTGAAAGGCTTTGACAAAGGCCTCCTTCTGGAAGCTGGTTCACCTTGGAAATCACACCATCAAGGCCAGGGCTCAAACTGATCCTCCAAGACCGAGATGCACCAGTTTTGAAAAATAGCAGACCATTGCTGGCTCACATGTTCCACCCAGCCAACTGCTTGCCCTGGGCCTCCATGCTGGACTTCAGCCTCTCTTCCTCCTCCTCTCTACTTATTCCCTGGGCAGGCAGCCCCACTGCCTCTCAGCCCGAGTCTTCCTGACCAAGGAAGGAGTGTCACCCACAGCCACTCAGGCTGCTAAGGAGAAGCCTCTATGGACAAGAGCAGAAAAAATTAAGCTAGTGGCAGGGACAGAGCAGACAGCAACATTGTCCCCCATGAGTGTGAAAGGTACACATGGCGTCAGGCAGTTGAAGCCCTCTAAGACTCCCAGCTCAATTCCTTCATCTCACTACCTTTCCTTAGTACATGGTAAATCATACATCTTCTTTTTAATGGGCAAAGGGGACACCTTCTAGGACAACAGTCACTCATTGCTCTGTGAAACTCCTAAATTCCTCCTCCAAAAGGGCTGCATTTACACACCGAAATGGTCCTAAGGAATCACAGAGAAAAGGGGAAACTTTTCATGTGTGGCTAGATTACTCGGACAAGACTAATAAGGTACAAAGCTAAAGGACAGTCATACCTTCACTTTCTGTTTCTATAGTTTTACAAAACTCTTTAAAAAGCAAAACGCCACCACCCAAAAATGACAGCAGCCAAACACCGCAGAGTTAGGGTCTGAAAAAATGAAGGCACTATTCTAACCGTTCCCAGAATTTGGGTTGGAATTTTCCCTTCGAGGCTGATACTATTAAGGAAACTACATTAAAAACAATTTTCAGTCTTTGCTGTAGATTACAGAGCCGTCTGAAAACAGTCAATCTAAATGTCAAGTAATTTAAATGTCTACACAGCCCACTTTGGGAATTAAGTGCCAAGAGACGAAAACCTGAAGGCCACACATAATGGCCTGCCACTTTCTTTGCTTGATTAAAATTATTTGAGAGAGATAATTGCTACTTTTGAAAGTAAAATCGATGAGGGAATTTTCTAAGCATTGTGTTAGCTGGAATTGGTAACTCCGGACAAGAGGAGACAAAATTGGGAGAAGTAAAGCCATAGGTGCCTTGGGCCTGAGTCCCTGAAGCGCCCCCTCCCAGTCAGAGCAGAGGGAAGAATCCCAGACAGCCCTGGGGGTGTCCTCTCTCAAGACAGGCTCCTGTCTGCTGCTCCCTAGTTCTCCTTGGCCCCTGCTCCCAGCATCGCCATGTTCCTCTGCCCCAGGCAGGTGATCTCACTGCTTTGCCAGAGTTCCAGATCCTAGGAAACAGCGTAAAGAAGCAGAGAGCCCAGCACCGCAGGGTTGTGACAGAGCCTGGGAGCTTCGACCTTGCCACACACAGCATCCCCAGACTCAGATCTGGAACTCTGGGGAACATGTTCTTGGTCTGTAAATACCAGGACAGTTTCATCAGTGAACTCCTTTTTTCTTTCCCAAGTTCGGCTGGTACGCGGGATACAGCTAAGCATAGAAGGTGGCATTGCGTCCCTCATTGCTTCTGAGGTCCTGCTGCCCAGTTTAGGCTTCCCATGTGGTCCTTCCTCTCAGACTCCTGGGAATTCCCAGGCACCTCAGACCCTCCCAAAACCCAACTCTTTCAACCCAGGAAGCCATCCTCAGGGTTTGCAAAGAAACTACAGTGCTGCGAGTCACCTCAGGGCTCACCTCCACTCGCTTTCAAAGAGGGCCCTTCAAGGGCACGTCGGGACTGCCCTGGGTTACAACCCTGCACTGTCTTCTCACCCTGCTTTGAGGCTTAGAGCCCCGAGCCCCGAGCCCCACCGCCTTCGAGCCTGCCTGGGGCGCGGGTTTCCACCCGGGATGCCCCCTGAAGGGTGCGGTTTCGGGAGGCGCTGGCCCAGGCAAAGAAGCTTGGGTCTAGGAAGAGTCCAGAGAACCTCCCGCCTGCTGACTCCTCGCCCCGCGCCCCCGGCCCAGCTCAGCCAGGAGTCAGACAGCCGTCGGGTGGGAGGCGCCTCCACCTCACCTTGGTGAACTTGACCTCCAAGTTGTGGATGGGGCGCGGCAGGGCAGGCGGCTTTCTGTCCAGCTGCCCGTTCTCCAAGGCCCCGTTGGTGGTGGCCATGGCTCTTCCGCGCTCGGCGGCCCGAGGCGCCTGAGTCTGCGGCGTGCCGGCTCAGCTGGGGCGGTGCGCAGCCTGCTCGTGGGGTGACAGCTCCGCGCTGCTTTATGGAGCGCCCCACGCCTCCCGCCCGAGGGGGCCGTCTAATTGGCTGCAGGACCGTAGGACCGGAGGGCGGGCGGGCGGGCGTGCGGAAGGGAGGGGAGGGGGCCGGCCCGCCTCACCCCACCCCGCCCGCCGCCCGGGAGGGAGCCCGGCCATCCCCCGCCCGGCCCGGTGTCGGCTCCGCGGCCCGCGTGCGGACCGCCCGGGCGGCTGCGCCTCGCGCTCTCGCCGGGTTGTTGCCCTTGGACAAGCTTTGCCAAGCGCCGCGGGGCTCCGGAAGTCCCAGAGGTGGGACACCGAGCCGGGGCAGGGAGCTGGGTGCAGGGACCGCAGCAGCTCTCAGCTGTCTCCCCGCAGCCGGGCGGGTTTGCACCTGCCGCGCCCCCTGCCCCCTGCTGATCCGCACTTTCCCAACTTTGGCCCGCGCGCAGCGGAGGTCGGTAGCTGTGGGTTCTGGTAGCGCCGGAGAGAATGGGCGTCTGGCGGGGCACCCCCAGCGTCGCTGCCTAGGAGCCTACGCTTTGGGTCCAGCTGCCAGGCCAGCGCTGGCAAGACAGATGCCTGCTGCACTCCAGCCCTCCAGAGCCAGGACGCGGGTGTCCACTCTGGGCCCGGCTGGCCCGGAATTTCCCAGCGGCCTTGGGGCATCACAAACCAAGCAAAGAAGGAGAAAGAGAAGTGTGAGGCCCTTTCTGCGTGCGCTGAGCTTTGGAGTCCTGGTGCCTGCTGGGCCTCTTACCTTTGCAGGCGCATACCACCATCCAGTCCAGCACCTGGGGTGAAATTATTTTGATTTTTAAAATGCATAAATTTTACCTCGATTAAAATGATTTAAATTTAAAAATGATTAAAATAAAAAGCAAATTCGATCTTTGCAGCTAATTGTTTTCAGAGTTGAAGCTTTTGTCCTGTATGTTGCTCATAACTGCCAGGGAGAGCGAGCCACATCCAACTTTTCATTTTGCCATTTTGGAAACGCACCACCAAACCTAAGGACTTGCCCCAGGTCCCATGTGAGACATAGAAATGGCTTCTCATGCATGCCATTCCTCAGGTGGCTGGAACAATGATTCAAGGTATGAACTCCCCATAAAAACAGTGATTTTATATAGGCTCAGCCCCTTCAGTCCATCTCCTTGTGCTAGTAATCCCAAGTGATTGACAATTGCGTGTTGGGGCTCTCCTATTTTCCTGAAGCTTCTTCTCAGTGTCCATCTTTGTCCCCTTCCAGGCTGCAGTATCACTGGGTGTCTTCTGGATAGCAGGATAAGTTTTTAAGCTTTTGGAAAGTGACCATCTGACCATCGGCCACCTGATGGTAGAAAGGGCTTGAGCAATTATAGGTTGAAATATGCAGGTGAGGCTGGCAAAGGGGGATAATGGGACTGCCGAGTGGCCACGGCTGACCAACATCTGTGATTCTGTCTTTGATGTTAGGCACACTAACACTAGTGAATCCTAGAGGGAAGCCATCTCTTTTCACAGGTACTCTTGCCAATTCTTGAGCTCCCTGACCTCCTGACTGGCCCTGTGGCTCCCACTTAGGTCTCCTGAAAACTCTGGGCAGATGTCTTGCACCAGCACATCTGACTGGATGCTGAACTCCAGTATCTGAAGACCTGTGGGAGCTATTGACAGACCCTCCCTGCACAATGGTCAGGGACTCTAGGCGGGTGGGTGAACTAAGCTTCAGGGGGTGGCAGCTAGAGAAATTTTGAAACTGAATTCCCATTCCAGGAGTGTATCTGGGATCTTGGATGTATTGCACTTGTCCAAGGCTTAACAATAACAAGAACAATAAATCAGAAAATTTATAGAGGAATTGTGCTCATTAATTGCTGGATAAATGGTGGGGGGAGGGAAGATGGGATTGGGACTTTGAACTCTTCTCCTTTAGTGTTAAGAGCTTGTTTGCTCAAAGCTGCCACTTTACCGGCTGTGATGTCAAGAATAGAAACCGCCTCAGCTCACACCCAAAGCCACGCTCGTGACCTGAGGCTTCTAGCCTTGGGAGCCAATTGCAATGGCATCCATTGGCTCACCTGCAGCTCCCCATGTGATACTAGGAGCTTGAGATCAGAGCAAACACTTAGCAGGCAGCCCTGAGAGGGCAGGTCAGTGGGGTGGGCCTGTCTCTAGGCTTGTCTAGACCAGTAGGCTTTACCTCTGCTCCCCTCAGCTTGCCACTCAGTAGCAGGCATGAAGGTAAATGCTCTTCTTCCCATTTTACAGATGAGTAAACCGAGGCATGTGGATACTTGCTCCAGACAATACTGTCATGGAAGAGCCAAGGGTAGACTGTGTGTGTGTGTGGGGGGGGGAGGGGGCAGGATGTGAAGGAAGGGTTTCTCTTACATTCCTCTGTCCCATTCATTCATCCTTAGGCCTCAGGTGCCTCCATGTCACTGAGGCCACATAAGACATAGTGAAGGTACAAAGTGCTTCACAGGTGCAAAAGCAGTGGCAGCATCCCTCCTAGTTGTGTCTGTCCTAGAAATCAAATCCTATGGTCTTGGCCTCAAAAGTGGTGACCACATAAGGTTGGAGGAGGAGGGAGGACTTGCTTCTGCTTGCAGAGGAGTTGCCTGAGGCTTGTGGTGGTGGATGAAGCCCCTTCTGACCACATCCCTGTCCTGATTCTAGCTGTGTGCCTCTGGTTTGGACATCGGGTTTCTCTGAAGTTTGGATTCCATTTCTGTGATCTCCTTCCCACTTCACAGCATTTGGGGAGGTTCAAGCAAGATAACGCTGTGAAAGAGGGCTTTATAAACTCTGAAGTGCTATGTATTTGCCAGGTCTCAGTTTTCCTATTCTTGGGGACTGGTTCCTCCCAGCAAGCTTTTCTTCTTAGAAGTCAGCCAGCTACCTTCACTTCTCTTTGACTTGCATGAACTTCCCCAGTCAAGGACTGGGGGAAAAATATTTTTATTTTTGCCTTCAGCTCTGCATAGCTGCTTCTGTCTGCTGCTTGGCTTCTTGGCATGTCAAGGGATCTAAGTCTAAGACATTGTACATTGAAGGGTCTGGTTTGTTTGTTTGATAAACACTCAATAAGAGTAAGCAGGAGGGCTGGAGGCTCAGTGGTAGAGTGCTTGCTTAGCTTGCACAAGGCCTTGGGGTTGATCCCCAGCACTGTAAACAAATAAGTAAATTTAAAGAGCAAGCAAAGCTACAGTAAGAGAAGTCAGATAACCTTCCTCACAGTTCAACAATCTTTAGACCATAAGCATTTGTGAGAGATGTTAAGGTATGCAGCAAATGTGATTCATAGGAATGATGAGGACAGCAATGGAGCCCACTCCTTATTCTACTTTATTTCAAACCTGGTGTTTGACTGTTGCTGAAGAATACCCAGGATGCCCAGCATCCCAGAGCTACCTTTTCCCACTGAGGTCAATCCTAGTCATTCAGTGACTAGGAGTCAAGGTCAGGTCTTGGGACCTGTAATATGCACTCTGAACTCTTTCCTGGCTCCTTGGTTAAGGGTGATTTGTTGATATAGGGACACCACTTATAGCTCTGAAGTGGCCTGTGGTGGCTTGAGGGAGGTGAACTAACCTCAGTTTTCTTGAGGTGACATGTGCCCCTGAGGGAAGATCTACTTCATTGTGAACACCTCCCTGCTGCTATCAATGAGGTCGGTTCCACATTTAGTGTGAATGTCCAACATTGCCTAAATTGGACTTGAATGAGCAATTACTTACTGTTCAAACTCATTATAAATCAGGACCCACAAACTTCCCCCACCGTGTTATAACACCATTCTGTCCTCAGAGAACATGCAAACAAATCTGCTTTCCTGCTGAGTTTTTATCAGTATGTTAGTCAGTTTTCTATTACGGTAACAAAACACCTGAGATAATCAACTTAAAAGGAAGAAAGATTTATTTTGGCTCATGGTTTCAGAGGTTTCGGTCCACAGTCACTTGGCCATGTTGCTTTGGGCTTGTGATGACCCAGTATATCATGGCAGAGGTGTGCAGCAGAGGAAGCTTGTTCACCTTGTGGTGGCTGGGAAAAGAAAGAAAAAAGAAGACAGAAAGGGGTCAGGGTCCCATTATCTCCTTCAAAAGCACACCCGCAATGACCTAACTTCCTCCCACTAAAGGTTCCACTACCTCCCGATAGCCCAACAGACCAAGGACTGAGCCATTAACCTGTGGGACTTTAGTGGACATTTAAGATCCAAATTCTAGCAATTAGTGGTCACAACAGAGGAAGGAACAAGGGCTTCCCCACTGCCCTTTCAGTTGCTTTCTCTTCAGCCCTGTGGCTCCCTTCTGGCCCAAGGGAAAATCTTGCACGTATGTATTAATCGGAGGTAAATTAGACTTATACTAGAAAAAAGCAAACAGAGAACTAATTATTCAGAAACAAAGAGAATACATCACAATATTTGTGGGCCTGACCTCACACACACAGAGCCTGGCAGTTCATGGCTTCTCCAACTTTCCCCTAGGTCTACCTTCCAGTGGTTGAGAGTTGCGACAAGGTCAGGAAAGAGCATTGTGGGTAAGGGTGATGGATGGTTGGCCACCCATTTTTTTCTTCTTTCTTTGCAGAGGAATCCTAATTGCTGAGGTCTAGGAATGAACATTATTTACCAGCCTCTCTTGCAGAAAGGTGAAGAAAGAAACGTAAGCTGAAATCTTGGGTTGGTTTTCCATGGGCAGTGTCGGCTGGTGAATTCTTTTTCATGTCTGCTGCCTGGAACAGACAAGAGAGCTGGGGCTGCAGCAGCTATCTTGTGATGAGAAAGTGATTCTGAAATGCAATCAGAAGTCAGAGCAGATACATAGGGAAGAGCCTAGGTCCCTGATGACTCTGGAATCAGTCCTTTAGCCTTGGAATTCCTTCCCTGGATTTCTTTCACATGAACAAAAGGTAAATCCCTGTTTTATTAAAGCCTGCTATTTGGGTTTTCTGTTATATATGAAAGAACTTAATCCTGAGCAATGGAGATAGAATTTTGGTG